GGCTTGCCCGTATCCTGCCAAGGAGGAGGGGTTAGGCGCCCCCAGGCCCAGGCAACGGTGTCTGCATGGCGAGCCCCGAGCAGCAGGAAGGGTTCCCTCTCCTAACCTCTACCCCCGCCGGGCGAGGGGCCGCTGCGACGGATCTCCCGGGGGCCACACGCATGGGGACAGCACGCTCATGCTGTTGGGGGCTGCTCTGCTGCCAACTACACCTGGCCTTGCCCTGCACCATTGTGCACGGGACCGGGTGGCACTGACAGGCCCCTCCCCGTTAATAGCCCCTGGGCTGGGGCTGGATGCCAGCAGGACCCACATTAGCTAGCCCTGCCACGTCTCCAGGGCCACGTGAAACTGACGAAGGCCCAGCCTTCTGCCCAGCACCCCGGGAGGGAAGCGGATCCGGGATGCAGGCACGGTCTGCATGATGAGCACCACTCCAACGCCTGGCTCCCTGTAACTGACCCCTCCCGGAGGCACAGGACTCGTCAATCATTTCCTCTGCCCACCAGCCAGCTGGTGCGTGCCAGGGAGGGAGCCACGTGGGCAGGCAGAAATGAACTCGGCAACGTGGGCAGCAGACTCCTACCAGGCAGGTCGAGGGCAACGGCGCGATAGCCTTCCTCTGTCAGCAGAGCCAGCGTCCCCAGCTCCTCCCACGTCTTAGAAGTGAAGGCCTGGCCGTGCAGCAGAACCACCTCCAGCCTGCAGAGCACAACAGAGACCGTCAGAACGGCCACGCGGGTTCAGACCAACGGCCCATCCAGCCCAGTGTCCTGTCTGCCCAGAGTGGCCAATACCAGTTGCCCCGGAGGGAGGGAACAGAACAGGGAATCCTCACGTGATCCCTCCCGTCACCCACCTCCAGACAGAGACTAGGGACACCATTCCTAATAGCCATCGATGGACCTAACCTCCATGAATCTATCGAGCTCTTTTTTGAACCCTGTTAAAGTCCTAGCCTTCACCACATCCTGTGGCAAGGAGTTCCACAGGTTGACTGTGCGCTGAGTGAAGAAAACAGAGGCTGTTTTTGTGTTTACCAGGAGCAGAGTTTGGGGCTTTCGGATGGCAGACACTATGTCGTGCGTGTCACGCTTGTGACAGACAGCCCCCCTCATACTTTATGAAATGGACTTATGGACACAAATATACATCACTCAGAGATGCTTTGGTCAAAATATTATTTTGGTGTGTGTATCATTCTTAGGTGTAAAATTAAAAATATGGGCTGCGTCCAGACTGGCAAGTTTTTCCGCAAAAGCAGCTTGAATTTCCGCAAGAACACTGATGATCTCATGTAAGATTGTCAGCGTTCTTGCGGAAATACTATGCTGCTCCCGTTCGGGCAAAAGTCCTTTTGCGCAAAAGGGCCAGTGTAGACAGCTCAGATTTGTTGTGTGCAAAAAAGCCCCGATCTCGAAAATGGCGATCGGGGCTTTTTTTGTGCAAAAGTGCGTCTAGATTGGCACGGACGCTTTTCCGCAAAAAGTGCTTTTGAGGAAAAGCGTCCTGCCCATCTAGACACGCTTTTCCGAAAATGCTTTTAACGGAAAACTTTTCCGTTAAAAGCATTTGTGTAAAATCATGCCAGTCGAGACATAGCCATGTAGTAAGGAACACTCTATGGTTTTAAATGTGCAAATTAAAGCCATTAGGGGTGTTATCCTCAACGTCTAGATGACCCGTGAACAGTCTTCTTTGTCCTTTAAGTCTTAGCAGTGGTTGGTCTTAGGGAAGTCGGGCAGCGCCCCCCAAGTGGCAGTGTCTGACCAGCTGTGATTTCCCATGTAAGGGTGGAATGTAGGAACAGCATTGCTGCCCGAGGTAGGAATCTATAAAACAACAGCAAGCGAGCAGTTTGGCTGGCTGGCCTGGCACTCCCCAGAAAATGAACCGGGCACCCTAGGGAGAGGGACTGTCTCTGGTTGGAAGGCTTAGCTGGAATAAGAAGAGTTTTAGGGTGAGTTTGTACTGAGGTTTTAGTTTCACAATTAGCTGTGTGTTGGTTATTTTAAATGTGTAATTCACTTGGCTCTGCCTGTTTTCACTTGCAGCCACTTAAATCCTACAATCACTTTTATTTACCACCAAGCCCGGTGTTAGGGAGAGGGACTGTCTCTGGTTGGAAGGCTTAGCTGGAATAAGAAGAGTTTTAGGGTGAGTTTGTACTGAGGTTTTAGTTTCACAATTAGCTGTGTGTTGGTTATTTTAAATGTGTAATTCACTTGGCTCTGCCTGTTTTCACTTGCAGCCACTTAAATCCTACAATCACTTTTATTTACCACCAAGCCCGGTGTAAATAATTGTTACTATGGGGGGGGCAATCTGTGTGTACATTCCCCCTTTCATTACTAAAGGGGGTTTACCCGAATCATTCATGTGGGGCTCTGATCCCAGTTGGGGCGTGGTGAGGGAGAGGGACTGTCTCTGGTTGAAAGGCTTAGCTGGAATAAGAACAGTTTTAGGGTGAGTTTGTACTGAGGTTTTAGTTTCACAATTAGCTGTGTGTTGGTTATTTTAAATGTGTAATTCACTTGGCTCTGCCTGTTTTCACTTGCAGCCACTTAAATCCTACAATCACTTTTATTTACCACCAAGCCCGGTGTAAATAATTGTTACTATGGGGGGGGCAATCTGTGTGTACATTCCCCCTTTCATTACTAAAGGGGGTTTACCCGAATCATTCATGTGGGGCTCTGATCCCAGTTGGGGCGTGGTATCCTGGGAAGCTGGGCCCAAAACTGCTCTTTCCTTGAACCTGAAGAGTTTCAGGGTCTGTACTGCTCCGGGGTGGGTTGGGGTCTCAGCTCGGTGCCTTGGCTGGGAAAGACCAGGGAGGCTGGCAGCAGGACAGAGTGGTGAGAAGCCTCAGAGAGTAAAGAGGCAAGTGTCAGTGGCTGCCAGCACATGGGGGAAGCAGTCCTGGGGGGTCTTCTGTATCCCCCCATGTGACGGGGTGCCGAGACCCCGCACCCAACCCCCAAGACTTTGTGCCCTTGCAGAAGGGCAGCGAGGCACCTACCGCCGCTGTGCCGGCTGCTCGCACGCCGCGGCTCAGCTGAGCAGTGCCGCGGCTCAGCTGAGCGAAGCCATGACTCAGCTGATTGGCACTGCCGCTCAGCTGGAGAGACGCGGCGGCACAGCTGAGCGGGACGCAGCCCCGCCAGGGAGGCGCGGGGGAAAGAGGGCGCACTGCGGCGGACGCAAAAGGAGGGCGGGGTGCGTAACCCCTCCCCCAGGCCGGTGGGGATCTTTAAAAGCTGGTCGGCCGCAGGAGAGAGGGGGGAGCGCGAGGAGGCTGCGGGAGCACTCCCCGACAGCGGAGGAGCCGCAGAGACGTCTACGGTCCCGGCAGGGGGAGTCGACGGTGGGAACACCGACACCCTGGAGACGGGGTAGGGGAGAGGAAGGAAGTAGCCCAGGGCAGGGCGGCGAAATAGCCCGTGGGCTGGTGTGTTTAGGGCACCCCCCTGCCAGTCGGACAGAGACTTACGGATAGTCTCCATCCCCAAAGCCCTGGGCTGGGGCCCGGGCTGCAGGAGAAGGGGGGGAGCGCGAGGAGGCTGCGGGAGTACTCCCCGACGGCGGGGGAGCCACAGAGACGTCTACAGTCCCGGCAGGAGGAGCCGACGGTGTGAACACCGACACCCTGGAGACGGGGTAGGGGAGAGGAAGGAAGTAAGTAGCCCAGGGCAGGGTGGCGAAACAGCCCGTGGGCTGGTGTGTTTAGGGGCACCCCTCGCCAGTCGGACAGAGACTTGCGGATAGTCTCCGTCCTCAGGGCCCTGGGCTGGGGCCCGGGAGTGAGGGCGGGCCCGGGCCTCCCTTCCTTCCCCCCCTCCCGAGGGAGCAATAACCATAAACGGGATCGTCGCCCGAGACTAGACTAATTGACCGAAAAGACGAGTGACCGCCCCCCAAGACGGACCAAGGACAGGGGCACGGTCATACCCCACAACCATTATCTACTCAGATCCAGGGTGGCTTCTGGATCAGCTGCTCCAGACTCAGCAAGGAGCAGCCAGATCCGAACAGAGGACTGAGAAGTGCAGCCACCTCTGGGGAGGGGCAGCCACAGCTTCAGAGCTCACCAACCCGCGTCGCACAGGAAACAAAGAAAGCCCCCGTCCCTGCACTGTCCATAGGATGGCCGTTTTGGAGCCCAAAAAGGGAATCTTTGAGTACTGACATAAGAATATACGTATGACGTACGATGACTTGCTTAAAAGCTCTGGGTGCTTCATGATTGCACAGTGTTTACTGGAAGGCCTTGCTTCCTGTTAGCGTTACAGATTAAGTCGTCCCCCTTGTCTGCATCACAAACAGAGTTGTGGAAGATTGCGTTCTTTGTGCTGTTCCTGTGGCGACTAGCAATCTATGCACAAGGGAGCGGTGTGAGTGCAGGAGGGGAGGGGGAGTGGGAAAGCCATCACCAACGCCCAAGTGGTCCAGAAGTGGGAACCTTGAAGGAAACATCCCTTAAGCCTGGTCTGAATGAAAGTAGCAGCATTGACTCACCTGGGAACAGGCAGGACCACCCCCCAGAGTGAGCCAAACGAGACAAGGATGGGAAAGCTGACAATAGCCATCAAAGGGGAACTAGGGGTGGAAGATTGCAGCATGACCTGCAAAACCCACAGGCGCTAATGGGAACTGACATGTAGAAGGAGGGGAGGTCTGGCCATTAACCCAAGTTGGGCCCTGCAAGCCTCAGAGAAGCCTCGAAAGACCCCGAATCCTCACTCAGTCAGTCCTGCCTGACCGGGAAGACGGACTTGATCCACAACAGACTGGCACCTATGCACCACGGGCGGGAATGCACACCCTGCTTTTCGTCCTGTTTCAATCAACGCGGCGTGTTGCCTTTTCTCCCCTGTGCCTCTCACAAGCACAACCTTTAAGAGCAGTTACAATGTGGGACAGGCGCCGGGGACACGACCCTCTGGGACTGGTCATCCTGGGGGCTCGGATACAAGTGCCGAGTCCAGAATGGCTGCCCAGGGCACCCGGCTCCAGCTCGGAGGCCAGGAGCCCAACCCACCTGTTGGGGCTGGGCGTGCCAGCTCTCTGGAGCAGGAAGCCTTCTCTGTAGGAGACGGCCGGGCTCCCGGCGACGGTCCCCGTTAGGATGGTGGCATTGGCCTCTCGCTGGCTCTTCTCCGCCCGGGGCTGGGGCTTGGGGCTGCCTGCCCTGGCTGGGAACCGCTCGTGCTGGATGGCCGGGAGCAGCAGGGAGAGGAGGAAGGTGACCAGGACGCCGAGGACCAGCAGGCCCAGCCGGTTGCGGATCAAAGCCATGGGCCTCCGTTCTGAAAGGGGTGGACAGCGGTGAGGGGCCGAGCGCCGGGTCC